CGCCTCAGTCCAAACTCCACCTCCAAGAAAGACCACCAAATGGTGACCCCTTGCCACAGAGGGCCAAGACCACTCCCACAGGCTATTTAAACTGCCCTCCAGAGACTGAACACATGGTCTTTCCTGTTCTCTGTGGTCTCCCCGGTTCTCCTTTCTCCTCTGGAGGGCCACTAGGAGCGCTGGCATCCATTCAACCTGGGCTTCTAATTTGGTCTGATTTGGATTATTGCATTGGCGGAGAGGTTTCTTGGGCCGGAAAAACTTAACAGTGGCACACGCTTTTAATCCCAGCACTTGGGAGTCAAATGCAGGTGGATTTCTCTGAGTTTGGAGCCAGCCTGGTCTACAAGAGCTAGTTCCAGGACAGGCTCCAACCCTACAGAGAAACCCAGTCTAGAAAAAACAAAAACAAAACAGAACAAGAACAAAAACAAAACAAAACAAAACAAAAAACCCCAAGAATTTCAGGGGTTGCAGCTCAATATTAGACATTGTTTTTGTTTATGGCTTTTTATTTTTATTTTTATTTTTGGTTAGCGACAATAGTGCCTCAGATAAAGATCATTGGTTGTGATACTGTCATTCTGCAAAGCTTGTCTGTGCTTTTTACCTTTGCTTTATTTATTTATTTTGGTTTTTTGAGACAGAGTCTCCTTACATAGCCCTGACTTGTTCTGGAACTCACAATGTAGATCAGGCTGACCTCAGACTCACAGGGATCTATCTGCCTCTGCCAACTAAGTGCTGAGATTAAAGGTGTGGCTACTATGCTCTGCTTGATTATTTGAGCTTTTAAAAATTTACATTTTAAGTTTTCTGTACACATCTGCAGAGGTCAGAGGGCAACCTGTGGGAGTCAGTTTTCTCCTTCCACAGTTTGAGTCCTGGGATGGAACTCAGGTCCTCGGGCTTGTACTCGGCCATCCCACCATCCGTTGTTTTGTTTTTCTTTTAATGCTCATTTTATTTTATGTGTGTGTGTTTTGCCTGCACGTGTCTGCACACCACGTGGTGCCCACACAGGCCAGAAGAGAGCACCAGATCTCCTGGAACTGGAATCACAGTTGTTACCTACCATATGGGTGACTAGACCTGGGGTCCCCTGGAAGAGCAGCAGCCTCTGTGTCTGGCCTCTGTTTTTGTTGTCTCGAGACAGAATCTTGTCTTGCTATATAGACCTGGCTGGCCCGGTACTTGTTATGTAGCTCAGCCTGGCTTCAAACTTGTGATCCTCCTGCCTCAGCTTCACCAGTGCTGGGATTAAAGTAAACATCTGGGGTTAATTCCTGGTGCACAAACACACACACACACACACACATACACCATTCAGAGAAACAATGGGAAGTCTTCTTCTTCTTCTTCTTCCTCTTCCTCCTTCTTCTTCCTCCTCCTCTTCCTCTTCCTCTTTCTTCTCCTCCTCTTCTTCTTCTTCCTATAAATATATCCTAAACATTGCAAATCCTGTTTTTCTGAAGCTGTTTAAATGAAGCTCACATTTAACTAACTGTTTTGCATTTTGTGTGGTAACCCTACTCAGAGCCGACTCTTGGGAGAAAGGGTGTTGCCCTCTCTGTCCCCAATTATCTGATCGATCCTATCCAGGCTAGTGTGATTCATCTGTCTGATCCGTAATTCCCTCTGCGCCTGGTGCCTTTAGCTGCCTCTCGTCTCTCCTCCGTGGAACTGTCTGTCTCCTAGCTTCCAGGGTTTTGGCAAGGAGACCACCTTCCACCCTACCAGCTCTCCTAGGCAACGCTCTGCAAACACGGTGCTTCACTGGCCCCTCCGCAGCTCAGCGTGGCTACCAGCTGGCTCCACAGCCTCTGGGCAGCCCAGTGCCTAGTTTGTCACCTCTCTACCACCTATTCCTTCTTAGTTTCCCCGTACCCCACAGTCCTGGCCTTCCTCCTAGTAACCCTGAGCCATCTGGGCTGATAGCCCCTGCTCACCCTTTGACTGGGCTCTCCCCCGGAATTTGCTGGAAGCCCAGCACCTCAAGGTGTAGTAAAGAGTGTAGTAAAGAGGCTTTGTTCTGCTCCTGGCTTAGTTAGATCACTTTATTTTTTTATTTTAAATATTTTTATGGTTTATTTAACTTTATTTTATGTGCATTGGTGTGAAGGTGTCAGATCCCCTGTAACTGGATCTTCAGACAGCTGTAATCTGCCATGTGGGTGCTGGGAATTGAACCCGGGTCCTCTGGAAGAGCAGTCAGTGCTCTTAACCTCTGAGCCATCTCTCCAGCCCCCTAGTTAGATCACTTTAGAGGCTGTCTAGCCCTTGGGATACAGTCAAAACCAGGTAAAGCCTTTCGTGGTAACCCCACCCAAGTCTCCCCGCTCTGTAAACCACTCTCCATTTCCAGACTAGATTTCCACAATCCTTTGGGGCTTCAAGCAGCTTCAGTAGGGATTCTCTTCCTCTGTGGCTGAATCTCGGAGGATTCGCTTCCATGCTGCCTTTTCTGGAAGACTCTTGCCTCTCTAGACTTGATATTCCTTCTGCCCATTACCATGAATTCTAAGTTTTATTTCCTTGCCTGTGAGACAAGATGGGGCTGTCTCCACCTTGGTTCCCACATCCAGCTAAATAAATATGCCCCTTGGCCTGACCCTAACGTAGATCCTAGTCCTACTGCCACGCTCTGCATGAAGAGTTTCTCTGCGTTGCCCAGGCTACCCTCAACCTCAGAACTTCTGACCCAAGCCTTCCAAGGGCAGGGATTATAGGTGTGCACCACCACACCCTGTTCCATGGCTCCCTCACCCTTTTTTTCCCTCCAAGAGGAGGTTTCTCTGGGTAACCCTGTCCTACCTGTCCTGGTACTCGCCCTGGAGACCAGACTGGCCTCGAACTCATGGGATTAAAGGGGTGTGCCTCCACACCCAGCCCATAGCTCACTCTTACTTAACCTTACTTCATCTCTGACCGGACAGCACACATAGGGCAGGGGTGAAGGCAGGTGCCCCTCTTTTCAGGGGATAGCTCTGCCTTCCTGGAAGAAATGCAGCAATCTGAGCCCACTTAGGATCTGCTAGGGAGTGAGTCAGAACCTTTGGCCTCTGGGGCTGCCACCCTGAGCTGCTTGGGAATGAGGTTCTAGACAAGGCCTGGTCTTTGGCGCCCTCTAGAGGAAAGAATTTGTTCCCTCTTGCCACACACCCCTTCCAAATCCGCTTTTTCTTTTCTTTTCTTTTCTTTTCTTTTCTTTTCTTTTCTTTTCTT